CAAATAAACATCTGCTTGTATCCAACTAAGCTAACCAAGCCTATCGGTTACTCTTGATGTGTTCCTTTTTTGTGGTTAGGCATGGTCTGGAACTTTTGCGATGAGGTAATCAACGACGGATTCCTTCCATCATCAAAAGTCAAAACAAAAAGGTAGTTGTTTTGTTTAACGCGTCTTGGAATAAAATTCGTAGCTAGAGAAAATCAAAAGGTCAAAACAAAAAGATAGTTGTTTTATTCTTATTTAAGTAAATTTCTCATATTAATATGGATTATGGAAATGAGTAATTAAGTGTGAGAAAACTAAGAAACTGAAATATTTAAAAACTGCCGAGTAGAAGAAAAAATCCTAAAGTGAAACATATAAAAATTACAATAATATATAGAATTTGAAAATAGAACAACTAAAATATGATAATTAAATTAAATTGTGATGTACTTTGTAAATTATATTTTTTCCGTTTTTTGAATTTATTGTAATTATTACGGAGTAAAATGTTTGTTGACTTTGTTCAAGATAAAACTTATAAACTTTTGTCATTTTATATTGCCTCCAGATTATAAAATCTAGAGGGATATTTTCCAGATTCCTTAGATATTATTGTCTTTGATCACTTCTTTTACAGTCATGCTAGGTATACCTCAAAATGTATTCTTAATGCTTATACTCATATTTTGATGACTTATATTAACCCAAAATGTCAATGCGATCGTAAGATTTCACATTGGCATTTTGTGTCAATGTAAATCATCACTCTCACACTTAAATTAACACAATATGCACATATAAACTTTTGGGGTACAAGCAGATTTATTTATTTTTTATGGACTAACCATCAACCCATCATGGCCATCAATCTTCTTGTTTTAGCATACCATCAATTAGGTTAACCAAAAAGTCCAAGCTTTAGCAGTGTTATTAAAACTGGACCGGACCGGCCGGTCCAACCGGTTGAACCGTGACCCAGTCACATGTCCGGTCCAGCTCATTGTTGAAACCCGTTTTTGAGTTGACCCGTTCAGAACTGGGAAAACCGCCGACCCGGGCGACTCGGCTTGAACCGGCGGGTTCTCAGGTTTAGAAGAAACACTTATTAAACATTAAATGCATAGGCTGGATTTCAAACCCTTGTCCCATGGACTACTGAGATGGGCTTGATCCACCTGAGCTAATGGTAAACTTTTGTCCTAATCCATGCAACACAGGATATATTACCTTTTTAAAATATTTAGATTAGATAATACATAGTAATCTAAAAAGAATCCTAATTATTAAATACAGAGAACGCTCTATGTGTTTATCATAGTTTACTCTTTATTTATTTTATGAAATTTTAAATTAGTACAAAGCTAAAAGTTAGTATTATTTATTTTTATTTAAGTTATAATAAAACCTATATTTAAAATATTACAGAGTATTTTCATTTTAAAATATTGATAATAATTTAATGTATTTTATTTTTTATTTTTAAAAAATTGTAATAAACTAAATATAAGTTTTAAAATGTCAATAGTATATAAGAAAATAATATGTAGTCTTTATATTTTTGAAAACGAGTACTTCTACGATAATCACTATTAACTCGTAGTCCGTAATAATAATGAAAATATAATAGAATAAAAACAAAACATGTAAAATAGTATGGTGCATATGTTCAATGAAACTAAAATCTAGGTGTAGAAGTAAAAAAAATATAAATTAAAATACTTTTATTTACCATATATGTCATCTAATAATATACGGAGTATAAAATATTATTATTTACATATATTTGATCTGGTCGTTGACCACCGAGTTGACCGGTTCGACCGGTTAGCCCTTGACCCACTTGCTCCTCCGGGTCGATGCTCGGTCCGGTTTTCAAAACATTGAGCTTTAGGCCATCCGCATCGGCCAGATTAGAAAGGAGGAGGAGAAGAGTCCTCCTGGAGTACTCCTCTCATTAGACGGACGAGTTGTAGGAGGACTCCTTCTCCGGCGCGATTTTCCAGACCAAAACGGAGAAGTAGTGCTCCGCGGAGAAGAACAAGAAATAGGAGTTTGCCAATCAAAGCATGCCATGTGTCCTCTCTTAGCTTTCATATATTCAATTTTTTTAGAAACCAATTTGAAAACTTTTACAAATTTGTGTACCATAAATTACAAATTCATTTATGGTACGTTTGGGAACATGGATTTGGATTTCAAATCCGGATTTGACTTAAATTCCATGTTTGGGAAATCTAAGCATTTTGAATTTGGATTTGAGTCAAATTCTTTACATTCAAAACAATGCTTAATTTGAAATCCATGCACCTCCCCTTGTCATTTGAAATTCAAGATTTCAAATTTTGGAATTGAAATGCATGAATTGAAATGAAATGCTAATTGCCAAACACTACCTTACAGGAAAAAAATCAATTAAATGTTTTAAGATTTTTTTTTGTGGCGGGCTGGCGGCTCTTAAATTTTTTGTTGGGTTAGTTATTTTTTATAAAGATGTGTTGAATTAACTTTGGAAAATACATTTTTTGTTGGGTTATTTTTATTTACTTATTTTTTGAAGAAATTTTACATGTTTTAGATCTAAAAATAATTTTACACTTTTCCATTTTCTTTTTTAGGAGAATAGATATGGAAACCTTTGTAATTATATCTCTTCTAAATATATTTCAGCCACACATTTTTTCAAATAGAGGGTATAAATTAAATGTGATTTATTGAAAAATAACATATTAAAGAACAGAAAAAGAATAGTTATCCTAATTAACTTAAAATATTCCCCGGAGTATAATTTTGAGACAAATTTGTTTATAAAAATAAATTTAATTAGAAAATTAAATTAATTATTGAAGCATATGTTTATTTTTGTTAATTTTTTTAATTAAAATGGTTGTATAGTATAATTATTTAATAATAAAAATTCATGTAGATCATATAATAAATTGTATTTTTGTAATCTTTTTGATGTAAGAGATGTGAAGGAGTGAAAAGAGAAGTTGTGTAATGGGACCCAAGAATCCAAAAGAAAACTATAGGATCAAACAACCTGTAAGTTCGTGGGGGGCGCAGCGGAAATCACCAATTAAGAGCTATGCAAACAAATCAACCAACTGTGCTACAGAGAAGACGTTGCAGCACTGTCCAGTAACAGATGACGGACAGTTTGCTATAACACTTCTCTGTCACAAGCACTCACACAGAAGCAGATGACGCAGAGGGTGTTACAGCGCCTACTGGGCAGAATACTGTAACTGTAAAAAGCGTAAAAAATAACACCAGATATGTTTACGCAGTTCGGAGCAAATTCTCCTAATCTGCGGGGCCCACGTCCGTGTAATAGCCCTCCACTAAATCACTAGATGCAAGTTACACCGGTACATAACAACATGATGAGACACACTTCTCCGAATTGCTATGACAAAACTTCTAATCTAGGATTTCTAACCCGAACTCTGTTCAGATCCGCTTTGGCTATCACATCTCCACCGAGATCACAAGGACAAACGTGTTGGCAGCCCACTCGTTCAGCTCTGGTTCATCTCCTGGACATCACGATCTGTTTGGCGTTGAAGATCTCTTCCTTCATGTATATCGTGACCTTCTTCACGCATGGGAAGCTCCGGGACGCGACGGGAATGCTCTACATCAGCGTATGTTCTTGGTTTTCCCTCTCAATCGCTCCAAGTAATTCCCAGGGACCTGCTGCGTATTTATAGGCTTTTCTCAACACAATCCTAGTAGGAATAGGATAGTAGAAGTTGGCTTGAACTCTACTTCCTTATTCTTGATCCACAAGTAGCCTAAAGAGTTGGGATTCCTTAGCATGCACAGCTGGAGTTATTATCATGTAATCTCAGTCCCAATAGGTCTCTATATCAGATTGCAGCTTAAAATCCCGTGCTCAGACCTCTGATCCCGAACTGTGTGTTGCAGCATCGTGCTGTAGCATCGTCTGCGTCAACCTCAAAAACTACAGCAGCTCTAGAAGTCTAAATAAAATAAACCTCTCCTAACAAATAGAGGTTTCTACCTAGTAAAACATCTAACAAATATGGGATTCTATTTTGCCAAAAGATTAGCCAACACCTTGGAACTAACACAACCTACACTAAAATACAAAGGATCTCATTTGATTAGGCATTTAGTGAATGTGGTTCTCTAATACACACACGGAAATTAAATACCCCTGGAGTACCTAAAATGAAATCTTAGAGATATCAAATTGTAGGCCGGGTCTTTGAATACATATAGTTAACACTTTGCACAATTTTTAATGGTGCAGACTAACAATAAAATAAAAACTAGCCCTGGATAACATTTCTAATACAATAAAAGTCATACGAAATGGACTTAAAACAAATAATGGTAACTCAAAATATAAGGGTGTGATTTAGATAAAGAGTTGAGAGAAGTTTTAGGTTCCGTTTGGCATCAACATTAGAGATTAGCGTAGCATTTTGAGAAGACTATCCGACAATAGTCTTTAGCGTTAGCATTTTCAAAATAAATCTACACTATTAAAATTGTATCCAAAACACTAATACTAATTAAAAACACAGGTCTCAAACAAGACTTTAAGCTCCAATTTCATGAACTTGATTATCATCTGATGGGCTTTACAGATAAACTTGTTCAAATTTTATCGTCCCTTCAACATCCATTTTAGGTGTTTTAACTTACACTTTGGTTCGCATGACATTGAAAACCAATGTCATGAGAGCAGGCCTCTTTAACTTATTGTGTACTAGAAAGCGCGATTATTGTTTGAAAATATCATTTTCGATCAATTAGCATTAATAATTTGGACAATTTTTAATGGTACGAATTAACTTTAAAAACATTGAAAACATTGTCATTAATTATCTTTTTCAAAACACCAAAACTAAATTGTTTCCAAACAGGCCATAAATCTATGAAACTGACCCAACACAAAATAAAAGGCTAAGCAAAAACATCCAAGGGTACTAAATTTTGGAATCAAATTGAAGAATGTGTCAATACAATGATGATATGTTATTCAATTGCCTAGTATAAGTCAATTTCACATAGATTAACCAAACAAGGCTCTACATGAAACAAGAATGTAAGCACCATAGCTACCCTCGTTGTCATACATTCACTTATCATCTCCCATTCTCTACTTCTACAAAACTTCATGTTGCTTTTTCTCAATGATCTGAAGCAACCTCAAACAGATGGAAAAATCAACAAGAATGATTAACAAGAGAACATCAATTTCCCTGCAATAAGCTTCGCAGCCTATTTCGAGCATCATCAGACAAGGTGAGGCACCTGAGTTTTGGCCGGCGAGAGGGGATTGGAGGTGCAGTAAAGCAGACGACAATGGCAGTGAGATTGTCATTTTTCTCCCTCAGCAATGCCTGGTTCACAAGTTCCTTTGCGCATTCGTGTGGGTCATTGTGCATCATGAGCTCTTGACGGACAATGCTGACCGCGTCCTGGTTTGACATCACATCCCAAATTCCATCACAGCCAATTATCATAAACTCGTCATCCTCTGTCAACACGACTTGGTGAATTTCTGGCTCTGCGGTGAGAGGCGAGGATGTGGGCCCATATGGAAGCTTGAGAGACCAGTCTCCTAGTGCACGTGTGACGGAAATTTCACCATTTAGGTAACCATATTCAATAAGACCACCCAAGTCCTCAACTCTTTTCCTTTCGTTTTGACAAGAGGGTCTGTGATCATGAGAAATCTGGACAGCATCTCCTTTCCTGCAGAGGACGGCACGACAGTCCCCAGCATTGGCAACGAGAAGATAATTACCAAGAACCAGAGCAGTTATTGCTGTTGTACCACATGTAGCATCAATTGTACAATCATCAGCCAGAGCTTGGTCAGCCAGTAAGAACGCTCTCTGATGAGAACGCTCCAATTCACCCAAGAACGCTTCATCAATTACAGGTGTTTGTGGAAGATCAGCGTTTTCAAAGAAGAATCGCAAAGCATTGTCTTTCACATAAGCAGATGCAGCAGATCCTCCATGACCGTCGAAGACTCCATAGAATGAACTTGGCACAGGCCATCTATATAAAGGACCCAAGTGAGCTGATAAATCATCAATCCGAACATGCTCGTCCTCATTTGATCTCCGTGCTCCAATGTCAGTGTGGCTACCTGAACAAATGCACGGAAGAAAATTTGGATTTCTTGTGGCGTGTCTAATGGCAGATTGAATGCTAGTTGAGCACTTCACAGCCTACAAAAACATATTAAAAGTCAGCGTCTACAGATATCAATCAACCAGCCCATCATCTAACAACTAATGGTAAACTCACAAGAACAATTAAGAAAAGCCCATGATGCAACACATGTTAAAGCTATAAGAAACTATAAGTTGATAAATTAATTAGTGTCATGATTTAACCAAGCTTCACTTTGAAAGCCATATCATTCATTAATTACTCCGTAGCAAGTCCAATCCTGATCCGCTAATAGAATCTCTTTAAAATCACTATTTAGAAATCAGATCCAAAATTCAGAAGAAAGATAGCAAAAATCCCAGAAAATAACACCCAGGAAAACATTTGATTGATTAATTGATCACTCTAAACTTCTATGACGATCCTACACAATTGCTAACTGCAACACCTAATTTTCCTAAGAAAACCCTTTCTTCAGACCCAATCTGGGGATAGAAGGAAATCACAAACTACATGATATGGGTATGCTTAAAACACCACAAACAATTCCGAAACAGGAGAAACCCCCCCACAATTTCTAGCCCCCTCAAAGAAAATCAGCAACTGAAACACGCACTCGGATGGGGAAAATCAAAACTCACCGACTCAGAGCGAGAGATTTCGATGGAGAGGGACTCGACTTCGATCGGAGGCGTAGAAACGTCCGGCGTCTCCACGTCGAACAGCTCCAAATCGTTGCCGGCGCCCGGCTTCGAGACGCGGATGTACTGAACCGAAACGCTCTGCTGGCACAAAATCTCCGCTTCGGCGACCATATCCGCCGCCGAACTCCTCTTAACTATCATCTGGAAGAACAGAAATCGCGCAGCTCCTCTGCCGATCTATCGTGGAATCCCCCAAATTTGATCCTGAAGATTTGGGCGTGGAGATGATGAGAATCTGGACGATTAGGGTTTTGTTTTACCTTTTTTACCTCTTCGGTTTGGTGAAGCGAATTCGGACTTTTGGGGGAAGATATGGCGCTTGCGGTGTATAAGTATCGAGAGAAAATGTCAGACTCGGTAAAACGGTAAAACTTCGCAGTAAAAATATACTTACGGCGGCGGATTTTACAAACGGGTAAAATATGTCGTGTGGTATCAAAACGCGCAGCTTTTTCCTTTTTTGTGGACTTCAATTGTTCACGTAGGCAATGCCGCAATAGTGTCAAAAAAAGAATTCTCTCGCCCATTCAAATTATTTTTAATTAAATATAACAATAAATTTATATATCAATTAATTTTCCTTATTTTATTTTTATTTTTATAGTTCTCCCTAACTAATTTTCTTATTTTCTCAAAAATTTTATCTGTTTCCTATTACGTCCCTCTTCGACAAAAATTTTAAAAAATTATTTGTCATAGACTCTGTATAAAAGGTAAAATAAAGAATTTATAGAAATGAATTAGGTATTTAAATTTTAGTCTTTTCATCTCATAAAAAATGTAAAAAGAGGAAAGTGAATTTTTAAAGAAACTTAGATTTTTTTATAAAATCATGACATAGCGCAATCTTAGACAATGATGACACTATGACAACGTGATGGTCAATAGTACCACAATCGTGGCCTGTGGTGGTGTTCGAAAGCGATAAGTCGATAATAATTGCCAGTACTATTGATTTTTTTTTCCTTTTCGATTGTACTACAGAAATAGAATTAATTATTACTCCTTCTGTCTTAGTGTATTTGTCCAGTTTGACTTTTTCGAATCAAACTGGACAAATTTTGACCTTCAATTAAATAAAAATCCTAATGTAATTTAACAAAAAAATGATTTTATTGGATTTATCATATTGAGAGCTTTCAAAATTGTATTTCATTATGCTAATGTGCAATATAAATTGAGAGTAATTGAAGTTCAAAGTTTGTCTAGTTTGACTCAAAAAAGTCAAACTGGACAAATAAACTGGGACGGAGGTAGTATAAAATTTTAAATTAAAGCTATGCTCCTAAGTATCTTGTTTTATTACTTTTAAATTTTATATTTGTATATACAAAAACATTAGATATTCTACTTAGGTACTCCATAATTAGGAATATATCTTATATTCCTACCTATATGGATATTTTTCCATGTTTCCTATTTTTTATCATTATTTTAAAATCGATCTTATTTGTTAATTTTTTTTAATTATTAGGAAAGTTCTAGTTATGAATTATTATCCTTTTTAGAATTTCGGTTATCCAACTGTCAGTCTCATAAATATGGCAAAGGCATAATTGTTGGAAACAGCATATTCTTTGTGCCAAACTGCCCATTAGGATTCTAACAAAATCTTTAGCAGTTCCTCTCATCACTTTTCTCTCTAATTTTTCTCTCAAGACCTAAGACTTAAATTGATATTGAATTGAAATTAAAATTTTATAAAATTGAATTGGATTAAAATAAATTCTAATACAATTTGAAATCCTTTGTTTGGAATAAATAAGGAATTGATACAAAAGTATATTATAAGTTACAATTCCTTATTAGGTAACACAAAAAGATATTTAGAGTTGGTATAAAATTGTATTTTGGGCTTTTCGCTGTTGATCGTTGGTTCTTTGTGTTACCTGTTACAAATGGCCAATATGTTTAACTAGTTTCACTAACAGGAGGTGGTGGTGGAACTCTTATTTTTTATTTTTAATCTTTAACTTTAAATTTTAAGTTCTAAAATTTTAAGATTAAATTTTTAAATTTTAATTTATAATTTTATTTTTTAGTTTTATTTAAATTTTAATTTTATTTTTTAACTTAAACAAAAAATTCAAAATATAACATTTTTTAAGTTCTTTATTTTAAATTTAAAATATTAAATGCTAAATATCAAATTTTAACATAATGTTATAAATTTAAATTTTAAATTTTAACTATTTACTTTTAGATTTTATTTTGAAATTTAAAATCTAAATTTTGACATTTAAATCTTAATTTTTTTAAGTTTTCAATTTTAAATTTTAAATTTATAACTTCATATTTTTAATATTTATTTTTTGGTTTTCAATTTTTATTTTTTATTTTTTAAATTTTTATTTTTTATCTATTGATTTTTAATTTCTAAAATTTAATTTATATATTTTGACTTTTGAATATTAAATCTCAAATTTCAAATTTTAATCAATAAATTTGTATTTCTATTTTTAATTTGTTTTTTGTTTTTTATTTTTAATTTTTTATTAGACCTATTTCTTTTTTATGATTCGTAAAGAATTCACGTGTTTTCATTTTGAACCGAAAAGTTCAAATTCTGGACTTCTAATTCTCTCTATGTTATAGAATTAAAAATGTCGAATTGAAAATTTTGGAATTAAAGTTTAATTTGTAATCCATATATTTTTGTGTTACGAAACAGTAGAATTGAATAAATTTTTCAATTTGAATTTCATAACACGAAATCTGTGTATCAAACACAACCAAAGGCTTAAGGGTGTAGGTGTGTGATGGGCATCGTGATCGCTGAGGAGCCCGCCACATCAGCGCGTGAGGGGACACCGCCTCTTCCCTCGTGAGCGTCCTGCGCGTGATGACTATCACCTCCTTGCTTCTTCTTCCTTCATTTTTTTTCTTTTTTCATGTGAAATTTGCACTGAATAGGACTAAATATTAGTCATTTCCCAATGTAGGACTTGAACTTTTTTAATGCCTAAATAGGACTTAATAATGACTAGTGAGAAGAATAATGTCCAAATAATGCTGGACATTTAGTTGAATAATGACTAATAGATAATGACTAATTGTCATACATTCGGAAATAAAAACATATGGTGCTATATTGAGAAAGTCATTATATATATATATATATATATATATATATATATATATATATATATATATAATCAAATGAGAATGCAATCTAATGAAAGAAATAAGAATACATCTTGTGCATTAGATGTAAGATCTAAGGGTTGAAAAATTAAAAAAAAAAGTCTGAAAAAATCTGAAAATGTGGTGGCATTATGGTAAATAAGTTGAACTTTACTCCTAACGGAGAAGGTATTTCATTCGTCCATTAGTTTCTTTCCTACTTTCTTTTTCGGGCCGTCCACAAATTTCTTTGGAAGAATTTCCTAGAAAAGATTTAAAAACTATAAAAATATCAAAACAAGGACCCAAATAGAAGTTACACTGCCACACTATCACATCAATACTGCCATCTGTCACCTCCAGACACCACAGTGTCATCGGAGATGATGACAATTGACTAATCGCACTGCCATATTACATTGTCTTTACTTTTACTTCACACTGTCAACGCATATTTTTACATCACATTGTCATTATACTCGTATTTCACTCATATCCAGAGAGGCAGAGAGATTTCTTTATTTCTTTCTCATTTCCTATTTTAGCAAATTTTTTTTAATGAATGTGTCATTATACTCATACTTTTTATTTATATTATTTACTTTATTCCATCAACTCAAGGATAAACATTAAAAGTCTTTACCCTTTTAATTCTCCTTAACCTCAGTGCTTAGTTAAAATGGGAAAAAAATTGTTGGACGGAGAGACTATTTATTTAAAATTAAGATAAATATTTATTTGATGTATTTTTCAAAATTGTTTTACTCCATACACGAGAAGATCTATATGCACCCACGGCACATGGTAAATTCTCTCATTATTTAATAAAAAACACATTTTTTCATTTATATCAAAGGAGTTTCTTATTTTCTCATTTACTTTTTGTGAAATTTGCACTGAATAGGACTAAAACATAAGTTATTTCTCAATGTAGGACTTGAACTTTTTTTATTCCCTAAATAAGACTTAATAATGACTAGTGAGAAGAATAATGTCCAAATGATGCTGGACATTTAGTTGAATAATGACCAATATATAATGACCAATGGTCCTATATTGGAAAATAAAAACATATGGTCCTATTTTAAAAAAGTCATTATGTTTTGGTCTTATTTAGGTAAATTACTCTTACTTTTTAAGTTACTTTTTAAGTAAAGAATATGTGGTTCAAATTCTTTTTTTCTCATATCTAAAAAAATTAATTAATTTTTTTAAACATTTTTTTCAGGATTATGCTATGTGTACCCCAAAGTTTGTACCCAATTTGTACCCCGCAGTTTTGCACCAACACTTTGTGTTGGTGAACTAATTTTTGTTAAATGCACCAACATTTATGTCCGTGTGAATTTTTATTAACGCACCAACACTTGTGTCGGTGTAAACCATCGAAATGTTTGTGCAAACCTGTGGTGTACAAATGGGGTATATTTTTTGGTGTAAGTGTAGCATGGTCCAAGGTAGAAATTTAACATGTGTGCTATATTCTTTATTTTGTTCGTCATCATCAACTATCGACTTCTCCTGTTCTCCAATACCGTTCCTTAATCACAAAGAACATTCCAACTGTCCAACTTAACCTTTTACGGAGTAGTTGTAAATTGAAAAGGTATTTTGTTTATGGATAAAGCTACTTCTATTTCTAAAGATGTAGCTCTAACCTTTGTTAAAGATTTACACTTACCATCCGTTTGGTACACGAAATTGACGGAATTGGAATTAAAGTGAGAGTTGAAATTCTATGAAATTATTTGGTGGAATTGAATTCTACATTTCCAATTCATTTTTGACACTACCAATTCTAAATCAACATATTTTTATGCTACCAAACAGAAGAATTAGAATTGTTGTCCCTAATTCCAATTCCATAGTTTGAATTCTGTGTACCAAACAGAGCCTTATACTTTGATGACTGACACTAACATAAAATGTCAGTGTGTCAGTGTGAAATTGTTTAATTGCACTAGTATTTTGTGTCAGTATGAAAATAAAAAATTAAATTGGTCTGGACCAAAATTTACATTTTGGGTTTGTTTTATTTTTTAGAATACATATGCTTTAAATTAATGCCGAATTTAAAAATATAAGGTATTAAAATTTTAGGGGCCCTGTACGATTGGCCTCTTTGCACATGTTTCGTGCCACTCATGGTGTGTATCATCAAAGTAATTTTTTAGATAGAATTTGGGGTACC